TCTCCACCCAGCTGCTTCTGGTCAGATGGAAAGGTGCGGAGACAAAGGATGACCTTGGTCTTTTAGAAAAGAATGACAACAATACATTCCACAATCCTACTCCTTTCTATTCCTCCCTCCCAACTACTACATTAATGAAACAGCATGATGAAATATGAGAAAGTGTGGCAGGCCAAAGATCCTAACAGGAATATAATTGCAGGCTTGACACAAAGACTTAAAAGATTGGTAAGGAGCTCGGGCAGGCAGGTGGGCCCTCTGGAGCACCGTACAGGAACGGTATCCAGTGCTCCAGGCAGGCTCTGGTAAGCCCATACCGGGGCGTACCACCTGAAACCGGGGCGTACCACCTGAAACCCACCACTGGTGTGGCCTAATTGAATCTTGACATACAAAAAATTTAGTTGTTTTCATTTTTTTAAAATTGCTGTCTTTTGTCTTCTGAATTCTCTGTTATGTGTGGGAAATCATGTTTAAAACTTTACAAATCAATGCATCTTCCTGGATCAGTTTTAATCAATTACTTTCTCTTGTGCTAATGCCTAGGCTATCTCATGAGATTATAAATAGGATAACATGGGAGGAACCATATACATTACACTCCTTGGAGGAAAATATAATAGTGTCTAGAAAATATGTTCTAAATAATGTTAAATTTCTGATTTATTTATTTATGAACTGGATTTATAAGTCTGTCCAACAGTAATAATGTTACTCTGGGTGGTGTAAAGCAGGAAAACAAACAGTAAATAAAATAAGAAACACCCCCGTCCCCATAAAAAAACAAACCCATATATGGGTATGGTTTAACAATTTTGTTGGATAATGATCCTTTTGCAAATATGACAATAATAAATGGTAATAAAAGGTTCATTTTCCAACCAATGGGATCATTTATGACAACAACATAAGCCTTCAGTGTGAAACTGAATAAGGTCTGGTCAGTTTCAGGTAGCATTTATGGGCTGGCTAGAGGGTTCTAAACAACTAAGTAGCAATAGCAATAGCAATAGCAGTTAGACTTATATACCGCTTCATAGGGCTTTCAGCCCTCTCTAAGCGGTTTACAGAGTCAGCATATTGC